AAATTGAACTGTATCAGTAAAAATGAAGCAAAAAAGTTTGTAGATGATAAAAGCCAAATTGCCAGAAAACAAAAATCCTGAAATACTTATTGAACTTGATTATAGACTAGAACTTGATTGATTATACTGTAGAATAGTTTCAACCATCCCAGAAATTCTTGAATTACACAATGTACTGGTCAACATTTCTTGTGCCTTTTTTCCATTGTGGCCCGCATAACGCTCTTCTACTTCAATGTGGCCCTTGGCCACTTCTGAGTTGGGCACCACTGGCCTATACTGTATTTCATGTTCTGAAACTATAGTGGCTATTTGGGTTAATTTTGTTTCAAGGTCCGCAATTTTGCATTGTACTGTGTTTTCTTCCGAATTTCCCGGAATAAACTGTAGCAGCTCACATGATGTATAGGGAAAACAGTATCAAGTCTTGTGTCAATTATATAAGCATATGCATTAATTCTTGTCTAATACGAAATGTCCCATATTTTTGTTGCGGTTGAACGAAAATTCGAATAACACCGCAGTAACATATAGAGTTCAATAAGAAAAGCACATGCCGTATTTCTGGAAAAGTTCAATTTCATTTCAATTTTCTCAGACATCATCAGTTGATCACCGCAGGCAATTCTATATTTACAGACGTCGATTCTCGTAACAAAATCACAAGCCGAAACGCTTCAGACCTTTGTGACTACGTAAGTATCTGCCTCCTTCATCACTTCTGATGATCTCAGGTCTCTGTGAAAAGAAAAGAAACCAACAAGAAAAGAGTCAACTTTACTGAAGTTATTGATTTTCAAGGATGGATAACCTCGCCAATCACGACTCGAACATATTCGAAAAATGCTGAAGTTTGAAAAAAAGTTTGGATCCAACGCGAGAAAAGGGACAAATCGCAAGTATATCCGACGTTGATTGATTTAATCTTTGAAAGTGAAGATTTCATGTCATGAGGACGAAAAACATAGCTGAGCAATGAAGACATGAATACAGTACTGTATTTTCGCTGTGAGAATCTCTCTTGACGGAGCACCTTGCGATTTTTCGACCCGTATACAGTTTACTCTCTGAAAGGTGCAGTTCAAAGACTTGTGGAAAAATATGCAGTGATTTGGAGAGAAAATTTGAAGGAATTTCGGACAGTGTAAAGTAACCATCAAAGGAAACACGCACTTGTCAATCGATCGAACGTCGTCCAGTTCTTGGAGAACAACGTTGACGTCGAGGTCGTGGAAAAGAACCTTTTCCACTTCCGGTCTCAGTCGGATGAAGTGCAAATGTTTGTCCATGGACTTCAGGTCTCTGCTCAATGCCTCAAATCCTCGTTTCAGCGAAAAGTCAGCTTTCGTCAAGCTGTGACAATCCACTACCACGTGTCTGATGGAAAGCAGAATTTTGAAAATACATTTCAGCACACCTGTTGTCAAATCATTCATAATAAGAAAGCTTTCAAGACCAGACCAATTATTAAATGTCTAAAAATCTGCTGAACTGTGCCAGCATTCACCGTCGAAACACAAAAAAACAAAGCTAATCTATTCAACTTCCAAATTATTATTGGTTGAAAAAAGCTTTTGATGAATATTTGCGATCAGCACGGGCGTTTGGATAAAATTATCTTGGAGCAAAAGTTTTCACACCACTTTCAAGAATCAAAGGAGCTCATGTGCCACTACTGAAGCTCTAATATGAATTGTGAGGGTTGAAGAGAATTTTCTGAGCAAAACTTTGCCTTTGCAAATAATACTGAAATTTCAGGCTTACTCGAGGAAGAATTTCTTCAACCTTGAAACGACCAAGTCCTCTCAAACAAAGTGAAATGTAAAATCCAAGTCATTGTGGCGGAATTTAGTCGAAGAAAAACGCTGTTCTTTACTTTCGGGGATTTCTGAGGCATGCAAATTATATATTTTTGAGTCAAAACGTTTGTATTTATAAAAACATGGATTTTCGCTGTTTTGAACGTATATGGACAAAAAATGCCTGATAATAAACCTGATGAGTACACAAACAAATTGGAACTCAGTGCACAAATCATCAGAAACTGAAGCGAAATACAACATATAGCTAGACTGAACTCATTATTTTTATGTCATATTGCTGTCGATCTTTTCTTTTTTTACTGCAATGCGAGCTCGATATATCATAGTGAGCTTTATATTAGAATTCAGTTCAGAGAGAAAGGATTACGTTTTGGCCATGGTTACCTGGTATTTTCATATTCCACCATTTTTGCTTTTTTCAGTATAGCTGCTCTGAAATCCTCCATTCCGGTGTACAGCAATCGATTTTCGGGTTGTACCAACATGCTATACAATCCCTTTTCCACCTGATGATAAAAATACAATAGTAAGTTGCATTATTCAATGACTGATTCAAAGAAAAAGTCGAGAAGGTTCAACTCCTGATATTTTTTCATTTTAAAATGTATGGTCACAATATTCTTCTAAGAATAGAAAATAACCTTTACATTTTTGGCAGCCAAAGAAAATACTGTCATCACACGAAACACGGTACATATGAAGAACAGTACTTGTACAAGGGTTCTAACAAAAGTTCTCGGAGTAGCCACGAAAATTACATACAATTGAGCTGAAAAAAATTATTCTTTAGCGAAAATATATTCTTTCGCACACAAAAAAAAATCAGCCCGGTTTGACAATTTTTTAAAATTTTTTTGCAAAATGTATCCTCATAGAGTTTGGCTCTCCACTCAAAAAATGAGGCGCCCTTTTTTTGTTGCAGCTCAGCTTTTCCCTCAGAATTTTTGAAATCAACTAGGCATTCTTTCTAAGGGTTGCCTCCAGGTAATCCAAGGCAATTCCGCCATTTTCATCAACAGCCTCCTTCACAGCCGCCACATTGGCCGCCACTTTGGCGGCCAATTTACCATTCATTTTACCCAGCTAGGCTCCAAAAATAGAAAAGAATATTTACCGACACGAGTTAGTATCAAACAATCTGTATGATATTCGACAAGTTGGACGAATTGGACCTGCTTAATTTTGAAATAAATACAGGGGTATGAATTATGCACAGCAGTAAAGTATATGGTAGACGGGTTTTTTTTTACCATACGTTATTCAAATCCATAAAATGGCTAACCATGACTTTCTGAAACCTTATCCGAGGGTTTGTGTATTCCATCAGCAAAAGTATCACTTGCGCAATGAGTCCAAAAATGATTCCCCAGTGCATTTCCAGGAATAAGCATCCGCAAAAAGTTGCTGTGTACGGAAGCAAATCACTTTCTGTAAATACAAAACAAGCAGGATTATAAAACAGCTGTCAAAACTCTCATCAACCAAACACATAACACGTTTCTACGTTCATGACTTTTTAAAGTGTAGGGCCTTAGTGAATACCTTCTTGTCCTCTATATTAATAAAACAAAAGTTTCGCCCCACACTTTTATTAGACCACTATAGCTCAGGACTTTTTTGGAAAAGTTTATTTTTCCCCATTTTTAGTGCATGAAAGTCTATTCCTAATGTTGAAAAAAGTATTTAATCTGTATGCAACATATTTTGCAACATCTGCACATATATTTTGCATACAATATTATGGGTTGTTATAATTTATGAAGCCTCATATGCCGGCTTCTAAAATTTGAATATAAAGTACGTACTCATGTATTTCAGCATTAGGAAGGTTCACAATCTATTTTAATTCAGTATAGAAATTGTTGGCTTGTAGTGATTGAAAGAGCGTTTGCTCTTTCAAAAGCAGGTACAATTTTAAAATTTTAATTAGGTTCAAAGTTGGAGTTGGTTTATGGTCGAGAGAGTGACGCATACAGTATTTTGAAAAGTTCTTGAATTATTTAAGTCATAAAAGAACTTCTCTGCTTTTTCAAGAAATTGACTGAAAGCGGCTGTCTATTTGCCAATAGCGGAATGACCTTGGAATACGTATATGAAGTAATTAATCTTATTGTAATGAATCTCATGTCGATTTCGGAAATTCTTGAGAAGTTGCTGGCCTAAAAAGAAAATATGCCAGATAGGCGTCATACTTTTCGGGTCATATGAGCATCAGAAAACTGCCAGAGGGTGACTTTTGCGAAAATTTTCCGCGAATATGTCAAACAGGACTGAATTCTCTTCTTAAGCCAAAAAATTACCTCCTCTGGAAAAAAGTTTTTTTCAAGCTCAATCACGCGCCATTTTCACTTTTTCTTCGTGAAATCCCGTTGGATACCTTGTATCTTAGCAATATTTTGTCTGATGGGATGAATTGTATTTTTGGAGATAAATTGCCGAGAATAACTCACTTTTGCACTTCCAAATAGCAATGATGGTCGGTATGTCAACCACGAATATAACAGCACAGATCACCACGGCTCCCAGAGTTGCCACCGGGATGTACTTGAAGCATGGAGTCAAAAACGCCAAGGAGAAGAGCACAATTGATCCTGTTTTAGCATAGAATCGTCTTATTGTTTCACATTTTCTTTTGCAATGACGGAACGAGAAAAAAATATTTGTTGATGCTAGTTACCAGTGAGGAGTCCACCGGAAGGAGATTTAACACCGGAAGAAGCATTAATGGCGGTCCTCGAAAATGTTCCAGTGACTGGCATTGATGATACGAAGGAGCCGAGAATGTTTGAGATTCCGATTGCCAACATTTCTTGGGTCGCATCCATTGCTTTCCCCTTTGCTGGATTATTCAGAGACGATTTTTTTTTCAAATTCAGGCTTTTGAAATACTGTACAGTACAGTTGAGTTGAAATTCAATGACTTATTGAACCTTCAAAGTTGAAAACCTACTTACGTCAATATTTTTTTCAAATACCTTTGCTAAATTCCCTAAAAAAGGACGTCCTTTTTAAGAGAAGAATTTTTTCTTTAAACCTCAATAATTAGAATTTTCTGGAAGCCTTCTGCATATTGTTTAATTGACACAGGAATTATGAACAAAAATAAAATGTAACTTTAAGCGTTTTGACAGGAAGAAAAAGGCTAATTGGGTAAATAAACCTTAGCCTCAAAATTCATCATCTCATCAATAACTTTTTCAAAAATCAATTAAGGATATAGAATATCACCAATTACAATTTCCTTCAATTATTTTTTCTTCCCCTAACACAAAAGCTTGTTTCCGTGACTAAAAACCTCCCTGACTCAATTTTTAGCTGGTCCCTTCGATTTGACTTTAAATGACACTACTGAAATTTGACTTTAAAAGACACTACTGAAATTCGACTTTAAAAGTTGAAATTTGACTTTAAAAGACACTACTTTACTATCTTGCAAAGCATCAGTACATTCCAATTCTAAGCAGAGATTGATAAACTTTCTGTTTGATTTCCATTCACTTCTTCATGATTTAAAAAAATAAAATTTTCAACAAACGTCAAGTTCAGTTATGCACAGAAGTGAATTGAGAGCATCTCGAAGAACTAAAAAAATTGAACAGGTTTCCCTATTATTTTGAAAAGACTGATTCTTCGACCTGCCTCTATCGGCAATCAGCACGTTTTCAGAAAATGTTTCTGCAATACCCAACAGTGGCATTCGTTAGGAGAATCACCGTCGCAATAATGTCCAGCACCCCACAAAAGCCTCAAAATAGGCTATTTTTCAAACCTGAATAACGTATTAAATATTTCTTTTCGAATTTCGTGATTTTTAGGTTGCTCTGGATGTCGTTGATGACAGAGAAATCTTCCAGGAAATTCTTCTTTCACTTAGACGGAAGGAATATCTTTCCGTCTCTCATCAATTTGGGAGGAATCCGTCCACATTATTATTATTCATAAAAAAAAATCAAGCTGATGAAATGAGACAGTTCCCTTTCATCCAGCTGGGATGTCAATTTTTACAATCTATTTTCAAAGACCCCTGAGAAATCCCTGGCATGCATTTGGAATTTTGACACTGGTGTAAAAGCTCTCCAGCATATATGAATTGCTAATACATAAAAACTTTGGCAAAAAATTGAAAATTGTCTTCATGCACATAGTACAGTGCATGCATGTGTTCTCACCAAAGGCTTTAGCGATGGACATGTTCTCCAGGACTGCCAAAATCGGCACGACGAAAACCCCGGCCCCGATGGTGCCCAAGACGTCGAGGAAGTCATGCGTTTTCCCCTCGCTATCCACGTAGCTGAAGGTCGGGATCGACACGGATGGGATGCCTGCGGGCATGTCACCCGTGATCGGGAATGGCTGGATCCCGTTGGAATAAAACAAATAGGCCAAAGTGGCAGAAAGGATGACTGAAACTGCGTTGGAGCCGTTGCAGGCAAACCACAGAGCTCTCCTCAGTCGTCGTCTTGTCGCTGAATCCGCGGGATTCGGCTCAGAAATCGGCTTCAGAAACTGCAACAATTGCCAAAAAAGGTTTCGCGTAATGAATTATAATAATGTTTCTCGAAGGAAAATAAATGGGGAAATTCAGCGGGTTCAAGATTTGATTAAATTTCGATGAACTACTGTATATGATGATGCATGTGCAGTAATTAAAGTTTGTTATTTGAGCCTCAATTAAAGTTTGTTAATTGAGGCTCAACTGTAAATTGTTTTTCTTTATCCTGAAAGAGTCTTAAATTGGCAATAACGCATGATCAATTCGAAAAGGTATTGCTTTTGAGAAACATTTGTGTTTCAGAAAAATTGACTTATTGCAGAATCAGGAAAGCGTCACCTTAAAAAAAGAAAAATCAGATGTCCATAAAACTGTAAATAGAGTACATGAATATTGATATAAATATTTGAAAAATGTTCACATTTGTTTGCGTGGACATTGCAGAAAATACTGTACATCCTGAAAATATGATTATAAAGTATTCGAATTTGTTGGAGAAAAATTAATCAGACATTAGTCTGTCTTTATACAGCATTCAAAAACTCAATTTTCTCCGAGTGAAGCGTATTTTGACTACAATACTTGATATAAAGAATAATGTTCTCTAGGAATATTGTTGAAAAAATCAGGCAAACAAATACGCCTCGAAATCTGTCAGAACATTACCCTGAATGTCGACAGGAAAATGATGCAGGACACTCCTAAAACAGTGTTCCACAGCTGGGTTTTGTAGAGGTTTTCGCAGATTTTTCGGACACACATGATGAATCCGGAAGCCTGAAACTTGAATCCCAGGATTGCCTTGATCTGTGAAAAGGCGATGTTGATGGCGACGGCTGTTGTGAATGCTGATGTGATCGGTACCGACACGAACTTCATGAACAACCCTGGAAACAAATACTGTTCCTGTATTTGAAAATCAACTCGCATTTTTTATTCGAAATTCTATACTCGAATACACTGCTCAGTGCTCACCCAGGTTTAGTAGACCAGCAATGAAAGTGAAGCATCCGGACATGAAGCACAGAGTCACTGCAATTTGCGGTGGAAGGCCTCGATTTGTGACGAAGTTCGCAGTGATCATGGCTTGAGTAGCTGTTGGGCCGATTGTCACTTCAGCGATGGATCCGAAGATGAAATACACAAAGCAACCGACGAATGCCGAATACAATCCGTACTGAGAAACGAAAAAGAATTCATATAAAACAATAAACACAGTACAAGTGCTGGGGGAAAATATCTCAAAATATAATACTGTGCGATGAATCTTATCTCTTGTGAATTCATAATTAAATTGCCAAAGCCTCCATTAATATTTTATGAATTTAAGGCTCAATACATTTGCAGATATTGGAGCCATTGTAAACCCTGGAAAAGGCAAGAAACCACTGCTGATCTAATTCAGCATAAATCCTATTTCAAAATACAGGTGGCACCTTGCAATTGAACATACAGTAATACATTGCCAAACTAGGGTCAAAATGCAAATTGGTTGAATTGGAAGACACTCTGAGATTCAAGAATATGAGTACAAAAATGGCAAAAAAATGGCCAAAGCAGGTTAAATTGTGGGTCAAGGGTCAAATTTCAAGTCAACTTCCCTGCAAATTTGACCTTCAAATTTTGGGATGGTTAAATTGTGGGAGGTTGAATGGTGAGGTGCCACCTGTACAGTGGACCCTTAGTTAAAAAACATGATTGGTTCCAGACAGAATTTTGTCAACCAAAAAGTTTGTTAACCAAATTTGATTTTATCATACACTTCAATGGGGACAAATTTAATCCATTTTGTTAGTCCGAAAGGCAACTGAACATTTAATATGGAAAAAATCTTCAAGACCATCAACTGTAAGTAGAATTATGTTTTGCTACATCTTGTTTGCGCCCAGAATATTTTTACATTGTTACATGGAAGTAACACTGATGTAAACAAAGATAATAAAGCCACACATCAAGAGAAACAAACTTAAGCCTACATGCAAGTTTAAATTAAATTTATTTTTCAAATGCTGAAAGTAATATAAAATAAACCATTCTAACAATTAAACAACCAGCCAAACCAAGCGCACAGAAAAGCAAATAATTCTTCAATAAGGTGTTGCACGTGAATAATGCAGCTCTGAAACAAATTTTAAAATACAAAATTAAATACTTTAAAGTTCCAGGAGGAAATAATTTTCATCTAGGTAGACTATTTAAATGTACATTTTACAATAAATTTCAGCCTGAAAAGCATATTTGTAAATTTGTAATTTTCAAGCAGAAAAAAAATTGCAAACCAAATTTTGGTTCGTTAACTTAGGGATTTACTCAGGAAACCAAAAATTTTTTAAACAAGGGCCCAGCACTCTGCAGTACTGTAATTTTGCTGATTGTTGAAGATATTAATAAGGGAAGCATAACTTGTTGATTCATAATAGAAATATGGCAGTAAAGAAAAAATAAGACGAGAAAAAAAAAGCGGGACAAGTTTCACACACTTGAACAGGAAGTCCTGCGAGTCCAGCGAAAGCGAAAGCATGAGGGATAACTGTCAGCCCAACAGAGAGCCCAGCGATAAGGTCGCAAACCACTGTTTCCAGGGTGGTTTTCGGGATCCACGTGATGACCGGCAGGCGTTTCTTCAGGGTTCGCATCGAACAGCACTTTCTCGTCCTGCTGGCCCACGAGGCCAGGACCGACCCAGTTTGGCCATCGTGACATTGACGATGGTGGCCCTTTTCGAATCGACCGTATTGAATCGGCGGGAAATGCTGGCTGAGGGACCCGTGATGACGGCGACGTTGTTGCTCATGTTGAGGGTGCTGGTGCTGGCCATCAG